CACTCATCTTTCTCTCGGGTGGCATGAACATAGCGTGGAGCATTGGATTCAACAGCTTTTATTTTAAATTCCTTCCTGTTCACACGCGCGTGGCTTGGTTTATTGGCGCCATCATTGGAGGTGTATTCAGTTGCTTTCTGGCCAACAAATTGCCAAAGAAAGTTGTTTTGGTAAGCATACGAAATCAGTTCCATACCGCAGCCGCTATTTTCTAATGCACTGTATTCAATTTGATAGTGTTTCTGCTCACTTCTGGTTATGATCGGCGGAATTGTGATTGCAACCACTCGGTACAATGTCCAAGCCGTTGAGGCGAGTCTCTATCTAGATGGCATTGCCAATGGATTGGCATTTGCTCCCACTTTGGCACTGGTCGGCGAGGTTTCAGTACCTTATATGCGTGGTGCAATTAGCGCGTCCATTGAGCAAATGTGCTACACGCTGGGATTCTTTATTCAGATTGTATATGTGTCATCCTGGTACACAACCTACAACTATAATAGCTTCAATGCAGAGCAAATGCATGGCGTACTGGCTGCCATTTATGGACTGATTGGGCTAATAATTGCTGGTATACTGTGTATTGAGTCGCCAGTGATAACGCTGGCCAATGGCGAGGAGCAGAAGGCTCTCGATGCACTACGCCGTCTGCAGCGTCCGTACACGATCACCACAGAGACTTACGCGCAGCTGGAGGAGCATAAACGTTATTTGGCGCAGAACAAAGATTTGTCGACAGGCCAGAGCATTGTCCAGGCCTTGCCAGCTTTTGTAAGACTATGTTATCTACGGGCCCTAAATGCCATGAGTCTTTCCGCCTTTGTGTATTACGCCCTCATAGTCTCCTTAACGCCCTACTACTCGCTAAATACTTTTACATGGCAGTTTATTGCGTTCGGGGCTGCTCGCTGGCTGGGCACATTCATCAGCAGCTTTTGCATGGAGTCAGCAGGACGCAAGGGCCCAACGCTTCTTGGTCTCTTGGTCAGCGGTGGTTTGGCCTTTGGAATTGGCAAATTAATCGGTGACGTCTATGAAATTTACCACGTTGATGGAGATGCGATACTTGCCCTGTTGTGCGTGTTCCAGCTCTTTGCAGGCATTGCCTTTACGGCCACCTCTGCCTACCTCTCTGAGGCCTATCCACTGGGCGTTAAGCAACACTTCATTGCATCTACCTTCATAGTTGAAATGCTAGTCTACATTATCATTTCATCTGTGCAGTACAGCATTCAAGGTCATGCCATTTTCTTTTACTTTGTGGGTGCCCTGTACTTGATTGGTTTCTTCCTGGGCATCTGGTGTCTGCCAGAGACACGACGAACCACTTTACGAGAATCACAAGACAAATTTAAGGGTATGCTGAGCAGGAGCTTTTAATTAAGTAAATCTAATTGTTTACTTTGCCATCAGCATAACAACAAAATATCATCATTGATATATTAAACATTGCATAAAATATCATTAGGCGATAGACTCTGAAGTAAATGGCTTTTATAATTACAAACTATTTCGATCAAATCTTTCAATCAATGCAGCGCACTTCAAAATAATCAATTTTTGCTTTGACAACCAGAATTATCGTAAGTACTGCGCACTTAAGAGAGCAGAAATGATATGCAATATGCGACCTTTGTGCCTTATATATGTATGCTATTAATTATGAATCAGCCTCTATAAATACTACTTGAATAAAAAACATACTGGTATTCACCACAGTTGTTCTCTGAAAATACTAAACTTTTTTTAATGGGGGAAGAACAGACCGCTTAAATGTGTAAAGGGCTATAAATTACCTGTCCACCTTATCGAAGAGCCGATGTGAAAAACCTAGTGCCAAGTTTGACGCGATATTAGCAAACTTTATGGGCATGGTCATACCCAGCGCTCTTATCATTTTGTATTTGGTCTTATCAATAGAAAGCGCGTAGGCGTACGGCCTTATCTGTTTTTCCAGCAAAGCAACAAAGCATTAATAACGTTTTGGTCAGTATTGTAAGCTTTTAGTAGAAAAACGCACGCCAAACGATGCGTTAAGAAAACAAAATGAAGAGCGATAAATATTTACCACCAGAGCCACCTGCATATGGGTTTACGTCTGCACCGTCAGAGGCACCACAGGACTTCCAACCTCCTGGTTATTCTCAGCAGGACTATCATAGGTACGGTTACTCCCAAGCCGCCCAACACGTATTCCCACAGCAATCGCAGCCCCAACAGGTGCTTACCCCGCACGCATACCCACCGCCGAGTTACGCACCACCGCTGCAAAGCTTTGGCCACCTGCCTCCACACAACTATGTCCTGCCCGAACCGCCACAACCACCACCACAGAACATAGTTCAAGTGCGACCCAGTGGCTGTTTCAACCGCGTTCAAACCAATAGGACGCAAATGAATGTCTTAAGTGCAGGTAAGTTTCACCAAGCCACTGATAACAAAACTTTAAAAAAATTAAAGCATTTGGCGATTAACTAATTTGATATCTTCACTCTGGCATATTAGACTCTGTGGCTGTCCTATTTAAACCTTTTAAAAGCAAAAAGCTTATTTTGTCTATTCACAGAAATATTATACTCTATAAGAGTTTGTTGCATTTACATGTGACTTACCAGTTTGATATACTTTCAGCTACGCTCATCTTCATCTCAGGCGGTATGAACATTGCCTGGAGCATTGGATTCCGCAGTACTCTTTACTATTATCTAACAACGCATGTGCGCATTGCTTGGTTCATAGGTGCCATTATTGGAGCAGCAATTAGCGGCTTTCTTCCCAAGGTGGTACCAAAGAGGGTGATCACGGTAGGCACATTCGCACACCTGTACCACTGCACACTACTTTAACGATAACTTCATCCCTCTGGCAGCTATTTTGCTCAATGCTGGTGCTTATTAGTGGTATAGTGAATGCCAGCACCAATCATAATATGGATGCTCTGACGGCTGCTCTGTATTTGAATGGCATTGCCAATGGATTGGTATTGGGTCCTACACTGGCGCTTGCCGGAGAGTTGGCCGTGTTTTACATGCGCGGAAAGATTTGTGCATCCACTGAGCAGCTGAGCTTCAACTTGGGCATCTTTTTGCAAATCTTAATATCCACCACAATGGGTTCAAGTTATTATTCAGATGGTTACAATCCCGAGCGCATAAATGGCATTCTCGCCGCAGTGTTTGGATTTCTCGGACTATGCTTTGCCACACTGCTGTTTATCGAGTCGCCAGTTGGTTTATTGGCCAGTGGACGGGACATTGAAGCCACCGAAGCACTACGTCGACTGCAACGTCCGTATGTCGTGAATAGCGAAGTTTACGCACAACTGTTAGAGCACAAACTTTATGTTGCCGAAAACAAGGAGCTGCCACCTGAGCAAAGCTTTGTTCAGGCAACTCCAGCCTTTACAAAACTTTGCATACTTCGGGCTCTTAATGCCATCAGCATATCGAGCTTCATGTTCTATGCCGTGTTGGTAAGCGCAGGTACCTCTTACAACTATTGGGAGACCAGGTGGTATTATGTCGTATTTGGCGCCTGTCGTCTGTTGGGTAGCTTCATAGCATCCTTTTGGATGGACTCGATCGGACGCAAGATGTCGACTCTTCTTGGACTTGTGGCATGTGGGAGCTTGGCATTTGGAATAGCCAGTCAATTCCATCATCCACTCTACAATGGTGTTGCAATAATGCTAGATATATTTCAGTTATTTGCTGGCGTGGCTTTCGCCGCCTCCTCTGCATACCTGGCCGAGGCATATCCACTAATTGTTAAGCAGCACTTTATTAGCTTAACCTTCATTGTCGAGCTGCTGGTGTTTATTATCATATCCACTTGTGACATCACTAACGAGTTCTTCTACGTTATCGGTGGCATCTACACGGCCGTCTTTATATTGGCTATGTGGTGCCTGCCTGAGACACAAAGAACTACATTACGCGAGTCACAAAAGAAATTCAGAGGCTGCTGCTAATCTAAGTGGCAATAAAAATGCATTAATATAAATACAATAATACAAAATATATATGCGTGGTAATATTTTAAGTTTGTATCACGAACTGACTGTTCTTATGTTAAAGTATTATTTTAATGCATATCCATAAATGTGACTTCTAAGTCCTGTAGCCATTGAAAATATTTAAATATAAACAAGAAATAAACGAAAAATTAAAAAAAAAAAAAAAAAAACAAAAAGTCATGCAGTTCTGACCGCTTACTTCTATGAATACTGTCCGATTTAGCGATAGTCTGATCCGGCTGACTTATTAACTGCCTGAACAAAAGGACAGACTTTGCATACTGATGCGTTTCGTGATGATAGATTTACAGGCAGATATGGGTATATCAATGCGTCTGTTGATACTGATCAAGAATATATATTCGTTTTACGGTTGAGGAAGAAGTCTACTTATATGCCTACACGGGCATAATAATGGGGACTTCTGCAGATTTAATGCCCTTACAGACATATGACAAATGTTCTGTAAATTTCAATCAAATTTTATTGTTTCTATAGAAGCTTTAAAAAGTCTAGGGAGGCAGATGAGTTTTGACAACAAATGTTGAGTCATAGTCGGTATTGAAAACATTAAAACCTAAGAGTGACAAAGAGTGCGCGTCATAAGCTCAAAGAGAGAAGAAAAATTCGCCGAATGAAAGAAAAAGAGAATATATGTGTGTAAAGTAGCACAAATCGCTGAAATGAGATTTACATGAGATAACTACCACCTAAATTATTATCTGGTCAGAAATACAAAAAATATAGACATACAAAAGGTAACAAATGCTTCTATCGAACGTGCCTGCAATCCAATAGAAACATTCATAGATAAGCGACTGGCTAAAAGGTTGCGCCGTGGCCACTGCGATAACGATAGTAGTAGCGATCCTATGGACTCTAAGCGTTTATCAATCAATGCGATAAGAAACGTTAACTAATGGATAAGTCAAACGGAAACCTGTTCGACATAGAGTCCAAAATTTTTTGTTTCATGTAGTAGTCTCTTGTACCTCGACAAAGGTGGTCGGACACACAACAGACATGGAACAAAGGCACGAATATCAGCGAACGGCGTCACAGTCCACAGTGGGATACTCACCACTGCCGGAGCCAAATCAGGAGCCACTCCCACGACGGCAACTACCATATCAACGGCCAGCCAGCTGCTGCATCCGTGATATGCGCAATCAGCCACAAGCAAATGCCTTGGGTGCCGGTAAGTATGAAGTAGGCATACTTCTCAATAAGCACTCAATGGGTCTTATGCCTAGTAAGACTTTGATATAGAAAAAAGTTATATCAAATAGTTTGAACAGTTCTTAACGAGCTCAGAAAGCAACACGAATTGGATACTTAACAAGATGTTCTGAACAAACTGTCTGCTCTAGTTAATAGCTATCGAGCTAATCGGGATAATGTTAATATTATACACAATAATCATGCTCCTCCTATTATAGCTGCTTTAATCTTCCTGTCGGGTGGCATGAACATAGCCTGGAGTATTGGCTTCGACAGCCTTGCGGACGAATTGGTGATCAGTACGCATCTACGCATCTCGTGGTTCATCGGCGCCATCATCGGGTCTCTACTTGGCATTGTCGTTGCCAGGTACCTCACCTACAAATTGCTCATGGTTAGTGGATGGTTTCATAAAAAGATAAATATACTGATAAACATACCTTTCGGGCTTTTCAGCAACTCAGCTGCCTGCTCACAATCATTGGCGGTATTCTTTTCACTGCGACACAGCTGCAAGTTGAGGCTATGTTGGCTGCACGTTACCTTAATGGCCTAGCAAATGGGTTCGCGTTACCGTCCACGCTGGCCATAGCCGGTGAGTTGGCAGTGTGTTATAAACGGGGAACCCTGGCCTCCGTCACGGAGCAAATGTCCTGCACTTTGGGCATATTCATGCAGATCGTTTTCAGCGTCAGCTTGAGCACGGACTCTGACCTGTCTGTGGACAAGCTGCAGGGCGTGCTATGTACCATTTATGGTGCCACTGCATTGTGCCTGGCCACCATATTCATTGTAGAGTCACCAGTCCGTCTGCTGACTCAGGGCGAGCAGGAGCTGGCCATCGATGCTATAATCCGCCTGCAGTATCCCAGAGCTGTCACGGCAGAGACTAACGATCAGCTGACTGAGCACACTTCTTATATCACTCATAACAGGACACTGAGCGCTAGTCAGGCCTGGTGTCAGGCACTGCCTGCCTTATTGCGCCTCTGTCTGCTCCGGGCCCTCTATGCCATGAGCACGAGCATGTTGGTCATCTTTACGCTTACATTGACCAGCAGCAGCGTCTATGGCCTAAGCAACGGTCCCTACGTGCTTTTTGGACTGCTACGTTTGGCCGGCAGCTGCAGCGGTGCCTTTGTTCAGGATACGCTTGGCCGCAAGCTAACCCAACTGATTGGCTTCATGATCTGTGGTGGTGCGTCCATTGGCCTGGCCAGCAGGTTTACGGATGTGGAGTTTTTGCGGCTTCCAGACTTGAAGACGGCTTTGTGGCTTTTGCTAATGTTCCAATTCTTTGCTGGACTTGGCTTTGCACCTAGTTCTGTCTACCTATCGGAGGCCTTTCCGCTCTCTGTAAAGCGTATGTGCATCTCAATTGCTTATATTTTGGAGTTGACTGTACATATGTCTATCTGCAACGTGGATCCCAGCGTGCACATTGATGGCGTCTATTTCTACGGTCTGGGTGTGTTCATGCTGCTCGGCTTCTTATTTAGCCATTGGTATCTGCCAGAGACAAAGTTCTTGACGCTACGTCAAGCACAACAAAAGTTTCGGGACTTCTCGTGACCAGCCCAGAAGTAGGCGCGCCAAGACTTTATATCATTTAATGTTAGCTAAATTTAGACAAATACCTTAGCTATATAAACAATATTTTTTGTACATACATTTTTATATTAAACGACTGATAACCAATTATATCAGCAAGCTTTCAATACTTTTGCATTAAGTGTCTAATCAGCTGCCAATTAGCCGCTAGTCCACGCCTCTAATTGTTGCTATAAGATGGCAATACAGTAGACGCTCCAAAACTCAAAAAGGTCTTTGTTAAGATTGCTTTAAATATAATATACTAAATAACATGGAACCAAATTACGACTAAATTTGTTGACCTAAAAATTTACATGCAACTGCACTAGCCATATACAATATTACATTTAAAATTTCGACACACAAACCAAAATGAAAAAAAAATTAGAGTTCAGCTTATAATAAGATCCTATGAGGTGAAATGAATTCAAAATGAGAGAGCGTTAGAAAGAAAGAGAGAGAGAGAAAGAGTTAGTGGATGCAAAAGAGTTAATTAAAGTAAAAGTGCGAGCATATGTTAAGAAAATTCGATTACATAAAAACCAGTAAAGCTCTAATTGATTGTATGATAATCGCTTAGAACGCCAATACTTATAAATACGTTTTTTTTGCAAAAAAACGGTTAGTATACTTAACTTCATTCTACCACCCATATCCCGCTTATTGAATTGCTATTAATTATTTTCTTATGTCCTGTTTTCAAAATGACCTTCATTGATTGATAGTCTGACGAAAATATAACTTTTATCAGCGTTAGTTGCTAACTTTCCATTTATTGCGAGCGACCACTGTAATTGAGAAGATTAATCTAAATATATGTATAAATGAAATGCCAATTGCTGATAACTGCTGATCAACAGGAGGCAGCAGTGGCCCATATAAAAATTTGGAAATAATAATATTTGCTAAATCACATCATTCGATAAAAGCTTACTGAAAGCGGGACTATACGATTTAAATCTAAGGACTCCTTAAATTAAAAAGATGCTTAATTTATCTGAATTTTAAAAGGCCCTAAAATATTTGTATTTTTAATCTGTTATTTTGCAATATTTAAGAATATTTTGTTCAGTGTAGAGCATGCGAAGTTCACCTTGATAGCGAAAAATTCGCCTGTTAGTTATTTGGCGTTTGTGTCCACTCTACCCACTTCTGACGCCTACTATTCAAATTTAATTAATTTATTTATATCCAGCAATCATATTGATAAGAGAGCGCGCAAAAACTTTTGTGTGTTTGCGCGTTTGTATTTTATTTATCTTATCAGAGCTTCGACGTTCTCGCCTCAAGCACTTCAGACAACTGTTGACTGTTGTGTGTGCTTTCCGTTTATCAACTGCACAGGCAACCGGTCGGTCAGGCGAACAGCAACTGCCCAGCTCTCAGAGGGCAAGTGTATAGAACAGCGCGAAATCAAGCCCCAAATAATGTGACACTCAGTATGTGAAAATGACGGCTACAGTCACAACAAGTGATAAGTTCTATAACTTCTAAATCATAAAACAATATATAAAACAGTTGCCAGTGACAGTGCCAAGCAAGCAAATAAATCAATTGACTAAAATTAATTGCAATCAAATATTACCAATATTGGCAAAAGGAATTCCAGAATGCCACTACTGCCGACCATTGAGGAGGAGGGCAAGCTGTCTTGGCTGCGTCTGATGTGGCGCTATCGCCTGCAGTTTCAGTCCTTGACCGCGGGTAAAAACGCATTCAGCCATCCAATGTGGACAACGCACCATATCCTGATCCCCCACTTTCCATATCTATCTATACTTCAGCTGCGCTGGTGTTTGTGGGCAGCGGCATGCGATTGGCTTGGTCCATATTTGACACGCCCGCGGGCAAGTTCCTGAATGACTACAACACACACAACCTGATGATGAGCTGGTTTATTGGCGCTGCTGTCGGTGCTCTGCTGGCAGCACTGTTTGTTCAGCGCGTTACCAAAAACGTGGCCTATGTAAGTGCTCCTGCAGCCATTAGCTGCTTATCTCACTTCCATAAACTGATAAATATTGAATCGCATTTGCCATTAGCCATCAACTGTGATAATCTATCTGAGAGTTTGTTGCCCGAAGTCAAATCGGGGATATACCAGAGAAAACATAGACCACCATTACATTTTTGACTCAAGTTCCGTTCAATGGTGTTACAAATTTGAAATTTCAACAATTACTTGGTGTAGGTGTAAGCATCTTTCCGAATAGTTCCTTTCAAATTTGTTTAAATTTTAACCAGGTTGCCTGAACGACCTTTGAGTTTAGGATTTCCCACAAATCTTACCACTTGGCTCTTTATTTGCAGACCTCCAGCGGCTTTCTGTTGCTTGTGGCTGGCATATTGAATTTGGCGCTGCCGCGTCACTTCATCTCCGCCTGCTACAGCAGCGTCAGCGTGGGCGCCGCCTATGGGCTGACCCAGGTGCAGGCGCTGGTGACGGGCTCGGAGATGGCACACAAGTCCATACGCGGCATGCTGCTGAGCTGTGAGCGCATCTTTCTCTGGTTGGGTGTTTGCATACAGGTCTTCTATACGCGCGTCTGGTATACATTGGAGCCAGTGGAAAGGGGACACACCATGCACATTGATCAGCTGCATGGCATCTTGTTGGCTGCCCTGGGCGTGGCTGCGGTCATCTTGTCCCTTTCATACCGCCTGGAATCGCCTCTATTGCTGCTGCGCCAAGATCGGGATATGGCAGTTGGTGACACGCTAAAGCAGTTAAATGGCCATTCGCAGTCTGGCACGGAGCTACTGCGTCTGCGCGAAGATTGCCGCCAGCTGCACAATACGCGCGACTGGGAGCAGTTCGCAGATGGCTCCATGGATTCTCGCTGGCAACGCTGGTCACGTCGTCTGCTGCCGCTGCTGAAGGTTCTCTTCCTGCGCTGCTTTGCAGCACTGGCGCTCTCATTGCCCTATAATCGTGCCTTTCTGGTGGTCAGCTGGCACGGCCTCGAGTGTGACATGAACTGTCTATACTGGCTGGCATTCTGCGGCCTACTTGGCAGCTTGGGCGGCGCCCTCCTCGTGGATTGGCAGGGACGTCGCAAGCCCTGCTCGCTGTCGCTTTTTGTAGCGGGCATTGTCATTGTCATGGTTGGCGGCGTCTTTGAGCATCTGGAGTCGGTTAAGAAGACCTACTACGACATAAATCTGCAGGCAATCGCACTACTCATGCTGCTTTTTGAGGTAATTGTAGCTGCGGGCGTGGCTGTGCCCGCACTGGTCTACTCAGGGGAGGCCTTTAGCGTGGCGCACAAGGCGAGATGCTTGGCGGGCGTCCTCATCTGTGAGCAGGCACTGCAGCTCGGTCTCATGCTGGCCGCCTTTGAGCACAGTCTTAGAGATTCGGTGTTTTTTTTTACCTTTGGGGCCCTGAGCTTTGCCTTTGGACTGCTGGTCTTCATGCTAATGCCTGAGACGCGACAGCTGACGCTGTACGAGTGCCTGCTAAAGTTTAAGAAAGTTCCTTAGATTAACAATCGGGTATTCATTAAAAAAAAATATCTCTATGTATGTACCATTAGTCGTATACATTTATCTCTGCTAGTAATAAAATTATCGTTCTATGTAACTGATCCGCATTATTGCTCAATTATTGAGGCTGAAGAAGATGTCTCCGGTCAAAACGTTTTCCCACCCATTAACACTCAGAGCTTTTGCTAGTTTTTGTAAGCCAAGGGTTAAATGTTGTTTGCCATGCTAAAAGCTTTGGAGCTGGTGCAGCTTTTGTGTACGCTTTTTATAGCACTGCAAAAACTGTTACCAGTATTCGATTTCCTCAGCTTTTACTGGAAAGCTATCCCCGAATATACCGTTATTTGTATTGTAAACATTGTATACACATTGTTTTTGCTCAGCCGGCTTCCGGGCAGCTTTTGCCCATTCAAAGTGTACGTACAACTTATTCGGATTGCCATTGCCCTCTAATACTTGGTGCTTTTGCGAGTTCAAGGGGCAGGGGCTTGGCACAGCACTTGTGTGAGAGAGAGAGAGAGGGATAGGGAGAGAAAGAGAGAAGGAGTAAGAGAGCAAGACACATGGCAAAAACAGAAATCAAGTTGATGAATATGGCGTGAGATGAGTTTGAATGGCACTCGCAGCAGTACCCAAAACAGTTGGTGGGAAAACGCGCTTGCTTAAAGCCAACGAAAGCTAAGAAAAGCCAAGGAAACAAGTAAAACAACTCCCCGGATAGCTCACTCGAGTGCTTTGCCAGCTAATGATGTGGAAAATTTGTTCGCCCACCCAAAAATGAAGATATCCTGCATGTATGTAAATACACGCACACACCCACAAGCCCACACTCTCACGCATATATGTACGTATATAAATTTGAATGGAGACTTATTGATATGCAATATTTGTGATTTTGTTGCACTCATCTTCATTTGGGGGCAGACCCTGAGCACTTTGAGGTCTCGTTTGTGCATAACATGCCGCTGGTTTCTATAGTTGGCATTGCTGATTGTCTTAAGGATCGGCCTTCTGCGCTGCGGTTGGCTTGGTTGCTTTGAGCCTGGACCCAAGCAAATATGCCCACAATTAGCAATTGCGGTATGGGCCAATACTCACAGGCCAATAACATGCCACTGGCCATAACAAACAACAACAACAACGTCTACTGTGAAAGCAACAACAATAGGAGCAGAGACTAAACGGACCCTAGAGACTCTGCCCGGCTAAATGAAGCGTCGGGAATTGAGTTTAAAGTTATTTAATTTTTAATTGTATTAATTAGCGTGCACCAAAAAATATGCAAACTTTTGCAAATTTGTTTGTTTATGCAGTTGTTGTTGTTGTTGCTGTTTTTGTTGCGTACACGTTTCCCAGCGGCTTTACCGAAAACTTACAAGTTGAAGCTTATTATGAAACCTGGCCCACAAAAGTTGCAACACAAAAAAAGAAATACACGATAAGGCCTCAAATTAACTAGACAGAAGAAGTTGCATAATTGCTTAATGCTTGTACGCACACACTCTCACATACACACACTCACATAGTCACATAAGTCAATATTATTATTATGATAAAAAAACATGAGGAAATCATCGCAATAAGTATTGTCAACTATCCAATACATTAATTTTCAGTTTTGATTAACACATAGTAATAC